TGAGCACACGTAAATCTGGTCACTCTGTTCTAATTAGTAATTAGACTTGTGTTGATAAAAAACAGAAATGTAAAAATATATATGAGACTACAATCTCGCATGTAGTTTACTAATTTGTATTGAGTTTGTAGTTCATCACAGGAGTGAGCTTGGAGTGGTGGCTACTTTACAACACACACACACAAAGGGATCATGGCGAACACAAGTAGCCCCCCTCCAGAAGATGATCCCTTTGTGTGTGTGTGTTGTAAAGTAGCCACCACTCCAAGCTCACTCCTGTGATGAACTACAAACTCAATACAAATTAGTAAACTACATGCGAGATTGTAGTCTCATCATGGGAGTAGCTACTCCCATGATGGGACTACACAAGCTTTTAGAAAGCAGCTTAAAGATGTTGTTCCTAACATCAATACATTCTGAGACACTGATCCAAAATGCAAATGAGATCAGAACTTCTGATCTGCATAACTCTAGCAGCTAGAACTCTCAGAAGTACATCAATAATGGTAGCTCCCATTTTTCTCCCATGAAAAGCTTTGGCTTGGTTTGTTACAGTCAACGGGTTCATCTATGAACAGTAGCAGATATCAGAAGCTAACTGATTGCGGGTGGAAAATACCACTGATGATCTGATCATACATAATTAAGAGGGAAAGAGTGGGCAAATGAGAGGATGAGAGGATCATGCCCACCATCCTTTCATGGCTATAGAAACATGACTCATTCAGCTTTATTAATCTGGCCTATATTGAACCCCAGCAGTGCTCTAATCTAAGCTGCTGAAAAATCCCACAATCATTGCCCATCAGCTCCCTCTAGCTGAAGCAACCGGGATACAACTGCACAGAGCTGGGGGACTCAATTTCTGTTAAAAGGGAGATCTGAGGCCAGGAACATCAATAACAGGGTTATTCACTAAAGGGAGAAGAGTTTGGAGACGGCAGGAGAAGTGAACAATCTAGGACAGTGGTGGCGAACCTTGGCACTCCAGCTGTTTTGGAACTACAAGTCCCATGAGGCATTGCATGGCTCTGACAGCCACGGGCATAACTCCCAGAGGCAGATGCGTGTTGGGATTTGTAGTTTTGGCACAGCTGGAGTGCCAAGGTTAGCCCTCACTGATCTAGGACAACATACCTGATTTGGGAAAATTCTCCAATTCAGCTCACTTTCCAGTTCAGCTATGTTGTCCTAGATTGTGCAGTGCACTTCTCCTGCCTTCTCCAAACTCTTCACCCTTTTGTGAATAACCCTGTAAATGGCTGAATCAGAGTTAACGTTCTCCTCAGGTGGCTCATATGAGTTTTCACAGCGCCTGCAAGGCAGGGGGGATAATTCCTAGGAAGGGAGAATAGTGGAAAGCAGTTATGCTTAAAGCAGAACTTACGGGGGTCCACTACAACGGACGTAGCTCCTTTTCTTGTCCAATGGCCAGCGTTACTCAACTCCTTGCTGTGAGCCCAGACTGTTATGAACGCACCTTCTGGAAGCATCCTCATGCAGGCCTTGGCTCACAGTACTCCTGTGAGTGGTGTGTTCAATGCAGGAGTAAAGATCACCCACTGCCCACTATCGGAAGCGAAGGGAAAAGACCTGTGATGTCAGAGAACCAGCAAGAGGAGAAAGGCGTTTTGTTTGAAATTGGAGTTTAGGTCAAATTTTATACAAGAAATTCAACCTTTATATTTATATTATACCGGATTTATATAGCGTGAACAGATTGTGCAGCGCTTTACAAAATAAGACATTACAATCACAATACATTCAAGACAAGATAGCAAGGAGGGCCTATACTAACTATAGATTCAAGTTGCTTTAAAGGAGAACTATGAGATGAGTGATTTCCACTCACCTCATAGTTCTAGCCGACCTGTGACAATGAGACTGTCACAGGTCGGCTCAGTAGAACCGGAGGTGAGCGAACACATACCGGGTTCGCTCACCTCTCGATCCTGTCACGGCTCTCTGCCTTGACAGGGGGAGGGGCTGGATTCTCCTCTCCCCGCTCCGCCAGCGCTGAATGGCGGAACGGACGGGGGAGGGGGGCGGGTACAGCTGGCTCTGCCTCTAGATAGGCAGAGCCAGCTGTCACTCACGCCGCTGGGCGTGAGTGACAGCTTAGGGTAACGGGAGGACGCTAGTTTGTGTCCTCCCGTTACCCTAAGGAGAACTATGGGGAAAAACATTCATTATTACTAGAGATAAAGAAAACCTGTCGTCAATCATGAAGGCTGCCATTACGGAACATTCCACTTTAAACATATTAGTTGCCTGCCTGTCATTCTGATGCAATGGCTGAAGTGTTTCCTGAGTCACCGACCTGGAACAAGTATAAGAAATAAGAAAATCTGACACTTTGACACTCATGTACAACATGCATCTTCTGGAGTCTGTGACGGTATTAACGCAAGACATCCAAACTGGCTTTTATGGACGACTGCAATGGCAGCCTCCGTACTTCTCCCGTGACAGGGTCACTAATATATACAGGAACAGTCATCTAAAATCCTTTTAGAGATAAGGCATCACCCTGGAAGAGCTCGCCTCGAGGGCTTTAGAAAAGCTAATATCATTGAGATTTCAGTTCAGTAAGCAGGAAGTTAGGATTTCTAGCTTGATCAACAAGTATTTTTTTTTTGTACTTGCAGAAAATCTACTACGCCTGAATAAATCTAATGCAACCACTACTAAGGACTGCTAAGCTGCAAGGTATTACATTTGTGCACTCGGGTTTAGATACACTTTCATGTAAATATTTGGACAGATTTATTACACCGTGCCTCTATTGGATAAACTACAAACTGCTGAGCAACTAACTGGAGATATCAGCCACACAGGGAGTGCATGGTTTTCAACAAGTCAGCCGAATTATGCATGGATTGCAAGAGTAAGCAGTAAAGTATAACTATTGTGTAGTGCTGCATACATCATGGCTTCCACCGGGTTATTTAGAATTAAATACTATACACACATTGATAAGACCATTTGCATCAAGCTCATCTCTAACACTGATCTATAAATAATTATAGATCTATAGATATCTATATATATTTATTTTATTTTCTCTTCAAGTGCAAGTCATTGTTTTAATATAATTTTATTAGCATTGACTGTATAGTTTAGTTTTGCACTTTTTTTGTGCTGTTTTACACTGTTTGCACTATTTTTTGCTTTATTATATTTAGGGCTGCAACTAATGATTATTTTCACATGCGATTAGTTGGCCGATTAGGTTTTCGATTAATCAAATAAAAAATATAAATATCATCCTTGATTTAAAATATGCACATGGGAGTGTTACAAAGTTTACTTCAGAATAAAAGTGCATAAACAATTTTTGTCAACTGCACAACATTGAGGTACCTTGTGTTCCAGTGCAGGCGATCACACTATGGGTGGGAGGCGCATTTGGAGTCTCATTGAAATTAATTTAACGGGGCAAAACCAAAAATGACTTTTTCCACCTTTTTAAATTCTTTATTATTATTATACAGGATTTACATAGCGCTCGTGAGAGCTTACAATCTAGTAGATTGTATTTAATAATTGTATTTGTAAGTATATGGCGCTTGAATAGCTTCAGCCAGGGAATGACAGCTGCTGCAGGTATTGGGCTGGCGCAATAGCACCAACCAACTAATCGATAATGAGAATAGTTGATAACTATTCACATCATCGATTATTCGGTTGCAGGCCTACATTGCTGCATTGTGATTACTGAACTTAATCTTTTTTTTATAGTGATGGAGCGCTGCAAATCAGAAAGAAAATATATTCATATTAAAAAAAATATCTAGTGAAATATTCTTTTTGTTTTGACTTCCGCTTTTATGTCATGTTTGACTGGACAAATAAGGGCTGCTAAAAAATTTGGACGCCCCTCTTATAGCATAAAAAAAAAGCTAACAAAAGCTTTTAACGAAACCATTTCGTGAACTGCATTTTCTTGAACGCTGCCATAAAATGCAATATAATCACGTAATAGAAATTTCATTTTTTTGTACAGTTAATAGAAGACTTGTCTCGCTTTTCAGTTCTGCCCTCTTCCTCGCAGAACATAACTGTTCAAGCAGAAAGGTGACAAATAACGAGACAGAAGACACAGAAACAAGTGGAAAATTCATCAGGCTGTGATGTCATCTTTCCAGCCAATCTAAGTACACTAACAACTTGTTCTTTACCGTAATCCAATTGTTAACATACTGAAATAATTTGAGGGCAGCAAGCAAGATTGATCGAGTTCATTAGTACTTTTTCTGACAGATACATGGGACCTAGCATTCGATGCTCAGCTGGAAATTATAGGCAGGACCAACAGATATGGCAAAGGGAGCGTTTAGAGAAAAGTGTGGGGGGGGACAGGGGAACCATAAAGCTGTTAAATTGCCTATGGTTCTGATACAGAGCAGAACATCTGGTCTGGAGAGCTTGAGGAAACACCATTAAACCAGCAGAAAAAAAAAAAGAGTAAAAAAAAAAAATGTTTGTTCGAAAGAAACAGAGCAGTATTTGTGAGCCCCTGTCAGAGGTATTAAGAGAGAAAGAGAGAGATTGGAGGAAGGAAGGGGGGACTTGGCAAATGGCGTTATGATTGGTCAGTCACGTATCACAGAGCCAGACATTCTAGTAATCGAGGTTTGTCAGACATCTGGTCTAGTTCCACCAGCCTTCACCAAGGGAGAGAAGACGGATGAATAAAAATGAAGCGGCCACTCTCCAGCATTCCAGAGCGTACACATCAGGTCTCTGATAGCAAGAAAAATAAACAGAGAGAAGGAAACTCTGTCTAGACTTTGCTGCTGCTCGGCCTGCTGCAGACGTACAGTTGGTATTTACTTAAAAGGGACTGCCAGGCTACCTTCAGACATTTAACCCCCTGCCCCCACCCCGATTAGGGAAAATAAAGAGCGCGGGCCACACGGCAAATACAGTAAAGATCACGGAAAATCAGAATATCAATACGTGGGAGGAAAAGGAAAAAAAAAATGATTCCTTACCGTAAATGAGGACCACAGATTCCTCTATGGCATGCTGGTAGCTGAACTGGGAATCTAGGAGGGCACGGCTGACGAAGGTGCCGTAGTAGGTGGACTGGTACCAGCCAACGTGGAGGTGGTCAATGTTGACGTGACGGAGGCTGCGCATCATCTCCATCTGATACTGGACTAAATAGAGAGGGGGGAAAAAAAAGGTAAGTTATAACAGTCGCAAAAACTACTAAAACCAAAAGGTTTACAATTACAGTCTGCGCATAAACAAAAAACTAACTTCTGTGGATGTATATTATCTCTTAAGACCTCCAGAAGTGAAATGATAGGTTCCCATTGCTAAGAATATCAGTAGCATGTAGGACATCCTCTAATAAGGCCTACAATAATCTTATGGGGAGGAGACATTTTGTGCTGTCTGTAGTAAAGCAAAGTGTTAACTTTCACCTCTATTTACAGGTTAATCATTCAGATAAACACAAGGTTTCCTACAGAAGTGTTTCTCAAAGCTCTAGACCAGGTGTAGCCAAACTCCGCCCCTCCAGCTGTGGTGGAACTACAAAAAAAATCCCATGAGACATTGCAAGATTCTCCCAGCCACAGACATGACTCCCGGAGAGAGATGCATCATGGGATTTGTAGTTTCACCACAGCTGGAGGGCCAGAGTTTGGCTACCCCTGCTCTAGGGCATGTAGACCACCTATTGGTACTTCTAATGCTGTAAACATGCTTACTATGATATGAAGTCCTGATACCCTAGTCACTTTTCCATGACGCCTCTATATACTTTGGCTCTGTATCATCAGACATTATATACATTAGTATCGTATGTATAAGGCTTTAAGTCTTCATTTTGCTATTTTTATTGCTACTTCTTTGGTCTATTTTTGCTTCACTTTAGCTACATCAGAACACAGCTCACCCTCCAACCACTTCGATAAAACTTAGTTCCTTTCTTCCAGAGTACTTTTCCCCCAATTAAACTTCAGAAAAATTGTATTTGGAGTGCACTGCTATGGACACTTGCAGGGTTATTCACCTGAGGGTGAATAGTTTGCAGAAGGCAGGAGAAGTGAACAATCCAGGCCAACATAGCTGATTTGGAGAAATGTTGTCCTAGATTGTTCACATCTCCAAACTCTTCCCCTTTTTGTAAATAACCCTTTTATCAGGAATATACCAGTGTCTTAGTTGTTGACCGTGATGCAACGTGCAAAAGGAAAGTAATGCGGCACCACCATACATAGGTCCAAGCAGTGCTGGCAGAGAGCAAACTGTCCAACCGCTCTCTGCCATGAACAGCATATCCTCCATAACAATTAATGAAATAGCAAGGAGTATCCTGGAATATGGGCCACAATTTGAGAAAATACCATTCTACAACTGTAAGAGAACTATGAGGTGATTTACACTCATCCTCATAGTTAGAGCCGAGGTGCGACATTAAAACTGTCACACATCGGCTCTATAGAGAGGCAAGTGACCGAACACATACTGTCGCTCGCTCACTTCCCGATCATCTCCCTGCAGAGAGCAGTGGCTACCAGTCACCACTCCTCCCCGATCCTCAAGTGCTGGCTGGAGCAACAGAAGGGGGAGTAGGCAGGCACAGCTGGCAATGCCTCTTGATAGGTAGAGCCCGCTGTCAATCAGCTAGCGGGGTGGATCTCAACAGTATTGTCTGGTTCCGTCCCAGCTGCGGCACTCAGTATATAGCGAGCAAAGTCCGCTATATACTGAGCTTTGGGTCACGGGAGGAGGTTAGCATATGTCCTTTTGTGACCCCTAAGGAGAACTATGGGATAACAAGGTTACCCCATAGTTTCTTATAATGTTTTTGTATTAATACTGTGGAAAACAAGTGAAGGTTTCAGCCATGTTAGTTACCAAGAACACGCAACTTTGCAAAGAATATGTGAGCTACAGCAAGAGAGCTGTGTGTCCATAACAAATACGGCTAGCTAAGATTGTTGTCACAATGCAGGAACTACATTGAGGACTGTACGCAATACTTTATCTGCACTAACAGCTATTTTTTCAGGACAAGCTTTTAGAGGTCTACTACCTTCTTCTAGGTCTAACGATACAGATATTAAGCACAACGCGGAGTATTCAACCGTGTTGTTACATGGGCACTAATTTGACCATAATCACCTACTGCATTGTGATAAATGTGGTTTCCCAGTTATGTTTCTGTGTTTCATTTTATAGTTAATTGTGTGTTTGCTGTATGATCCGAAATCACTAAAAAAATCCAACCCATGAGAACAACAAAGCCGCCTAGCACTGCCATTTGTAAGCAGTTTTCATCTTCGGTGCAAATTTAGAATGAAAGGGACCATCTAGATGCTATGGACTACAGACAAACTACAGAGTAAACAGCCAATTCACACAATATTATTAACAGATTTTGTGTTTTGTCTGATGTTGCTTTAAACCCACTGCGCCCTAGGGTGCCAACAAAGCAAGATTTGCAACTGATTTCTAGTATCAACTAGGTGCTTATCTCAGAATGCCTCCTCCTTTAGACTGAATAACCTCCCCTGGCTTGCTTCCATTTACAGCAGAGCAGAGAATCAATGAAGAACTCAATACTCAATTGGGAATAAGTCCATAATGAAAGTATAATATATTGTGTACGGCGGCTTGTGAATCAGAGTAAGGCCTTCCAGGCTAAAATTTTCAAAGGTGATGGAAAAGAAATCAGAAACAGCGAAGATGGTTAAGAGGGAAGGAAAAGGAAAATATTGCTTGATGTCTTTTCATATTGTAGGCTGCATATGAGAGTGTGGCACAAAATACATTCTGTGCTACTGAAACAGATCTATCATCCGCACACACAGAGAAGCCGCCATCTTGTTCACTGCAAAAATAATTATTCACTGTTCTACCCTTCTCTGGCAGCATTAACCAAGCATATGATTATACTAGATTCTCATTTATATTGGCACTGCAAACAAATACCTAAAGAGGATAGCTTTGTAAGACTGCCCGGGGTTTTAGGAAACAAGGACATCTTCTGGGACATCTTTTGAGAGGACGCATTAGATATTCCTAGGGATCTACCGATAATCAGAACCGATATTCCCAGATTTTTTCATTATCAGTATCGGCTAAATGTACCGATAATAAACACGCTGTCTGGCCGGCATCCCTCAAACAACTGATCAAAGGAGCCGCTCAGAAAATAATGTTGCAACAGAGCCGGCAGCATCAGAGCTGCCAGCTCTGTTCGGGTTCTGACAGTGGCCGCTGTCAGATAGCCAATAGCAGGCTGGCCATTGCTTCCCTTGCTATTTTAAATTGCAATAGCCAATAGCAGGCTAGCTATTGCACCCGCCCACTGCCTATCAGCAGAGGAGCAGACCTGAAGAAGAACTTTTCTCCTGCTGATTGACAGCAGGCAGTGGGTGGGTGCAATAGCCAGCCTGCTATTGCAATTTGAAATAGCCAATAGCAGACTGGCTATCACTCCCAGCCACTGCAGATCGATCACCAGACCTGAAGAAGAACTTTCTTCAGGTCTGCTGATTGACACCAGGCAGATTTAATAGCCAGCCTGCTATTACAAATTGAAATCACCAATAGCTGGCTGGCTATTGCGCTGCTTACATTCAGCTGACGGCTCCAGGATCCTGCCGCCAGCAAATTAAAGGAGGGGTCGTCTCAGTAGGGGTCGGCCGATATCAGGTAACTGCCTGCTGTTTACATTCATACTGGCAGCTGCATGTAAACAGATATCGCTTGGTAGCCCATAATCTGGATCAGTTCCAAATAATTGATATCAGACAACCCCCTTGCGGAGAGTACTCAAGGCACTCAACTAAATGCACAGTTCTAATACATATAGGAATAGGTTTCCTGTTCCCACACCAAATGATTTGTAAGGGTCCATTCACACCTGCAAATTCTTCACTGCGCTCTGCTGCGAGTGGGAGGTGCTGTACAATTCTATAACAACTGCCACCACCCATAGCTGTTAGCATGTAATAGCACAGGGGGCGTATACCTGGGGATGAACGCACTAGGATGCAGATTGTTTGCGTCTGGCCATGATTGTCCGCAGGTAATTGCAGCCCCTGTAATTACATGCAAACAGGCCGAACAGCTGCAGGCAGTGGCAGCTGTCATTGTATTGTAAAGCAACCTTCGGTCCGCAGCAGATCGCATGGGTCTCAGGAATTTGTGAGACTCGTGCAATCAGGTCCATGTACAAGTGCTAATGGGGGCCCAATTTTGGCCAGCCATTTTCAATATTTACACACACTGGAAGGTTAGGAACATCAGTAATGCAACTTACAGAATTAGTTTTACTAATCTCTGGGTCTGCTCCATACTCACTGGACACAGATAACTGATGTCGATTCACTAAGCAGGTTGAATGTGGGGAGGTAATACAGGATCAATATTGCTAAACTAGGTTGCAAGACTGCCGAGTCAGGAAATAAGAGCATGAACTGCCTGGATGTGCAGTGTGGAAATCATAAGATTGGCTGTACAGAATTACAAACCCTTTGGCAGGTAAGACGGCAAACACAAGTATTTTGAATGTGTGTTTAGCTATTGGACAGGGATCTACTTAAGCTTGCCACAAACAATTTAAGATCACCGTGTTATAAATAACCATCCTCCCACACTCAGAGTTTGTCATATATTCCACTTGGCAAAAATGGAGTTCCTGGGAGATCTTTGCTATACCTGGCCTGCCTGATTCCACATATCCTTTTTACAAAATCTTCCTAGTTCTCGACTGCACCCCTGGAACAGGTGTGGCAGAACACCACAGACAATGGTGGCCCATGAATAGCCCCTGGTGGGTCAGCATACATCTCAGTGAGACAATTCAAGTACTAAATAAAATGACATCACACTGCTTTTATCTTTTTGGTACTCCGGTGGCAACACTGCAAAAATGTAGGGATTCATCATACGTCCAACTGTCCTGACCATTACTAGCCGGAATGATTGATACTCCCAAAAGGATGCATGGAGAAGGCGACTCAACTTTATTGTGCAGCAAATAAATGATATACACCTTTTGTGGAGTTGGACTTTAAATTAGGAGTACAGCTAATAGAAGCCATGGACTTCAGGCCCCTGCAAAAAAAAAAGCTGGAATCTGACTGCTATAACCTGGAAACACAAAGTCCTACTGGACCTTCAGAGAGTTCAATTA